CAAAATTTTTTGTGTAGGGAATAAATAGTTTTGACTGTTAAAGAAATGCTAAAGAACGTTGCATGTGATGACGCCACGAGTACGCTTCTGTTCCAATACACATATGTGCTTGCGTGCTCGCGTTCTCGTCAAGTCCGATATTCCTGCGTTCTCGCCAAAACGGACTTCACGAGAACGCGAGTACGTACTCGCGTTCGCGTGAATTGAGAAACGCCCTAACACTTAATGTGACCCTGAATATACAATCTCCAAAGAGAACTGCGATAAGGTAATAGTAGGAGCATTATGCTTTGGACATTTTTTTTTTTGCTGCAGCTGGGACAGTTAAGTTGGTCAGAGTTTATAGGAAAATTAAGTACACAGGACAATTATGAAAGAAAATATTTGTCAAATAACCAGAGATTTACCTTCCAACATAATATAAATATACAAGAAGAGTCTTGCTTTAATAAATGTAGCTGATTTAAATGACCCATTTCATGTAATCTTAGTGAGATTCAACTATGCTGCAAAGAAGAATGAGAAAAAAAATCCCTTCAGTTTGATAATTGCATATTCTCCTGTATTGGTCAATCAAATAAAATCCCATTAAGATAAATTTACCTTTGGAAATGAATACCTTTGCAAACCCTACCAGCTAACTTTATTTGTCCTGTAACCGGGCAGGTGCAATGTCCTCAACATATGTTAATTTCTTTGATACAGCTTTGATTAGGAAGTTTTCTTTTTGTCTTTATTTTATCTTTGTTAAAAGCCCTGAGTTTATGTTCTCCTCTTGTCTCCCAGTGGTCTGGCTCCATCCACCCCTCTGTGCCATTCTACCAGTCCCCAGTGGGCACAGCCAGCCAGTCTGGCCAGGTCTGCCCCTTGCTGTGCCCCTGTGCAGGATAAGCTCCCGTCTGGACTTTGGGCTGAGGCCTTTGTATGGAGCTGTGGGGGTGTTCGTGTGCGTGCGCTTTTTCTGGGGTTATATGTGTGCATAGCTTTCGGAACAAATGAGAAGAAGGGGGTCCAATCTGTGCCTGAGGGAAACCTACTAACACCTCCACCCCCGACTCCCCCTAACGCACCCTCACATGTGCCCTATTGAAGCCTAAGGGAGCGTGAACAATCACTGCAGAACCAAAGAGCTAAGTCCCCTTGTTATACAAGCCCAATTTTCAGCACCAGCCCTACCTCTAGCCTATATCATGGGTTCCCCCCCCAGCCCAGCATTCCCCTCATCAGAGGCTGAAGAGCTTTGTTAAAGCGAGCCAGGCCCCTTTAATGTCGTTATTTAATTAGCCATTCCACAGTGAAACTACCATCCGGCACCACTGCTACCTCAAACTCCCTCTTTTCTTTTGCTAACCCTCCTAATCATCACGTCTTTTGCATCTTTACACACTTGCCATCATAACTGTCCATCCAGACAGTTTCATGAGCCTCTCTCTTTTTTTCCTTTCTCCTCGTCTTTATCTTCAGTAATTAGCCAGGGAATGGGGGCCGACTTATGACTAGGTTGCTTGAGCATTTGTGCTTTAGACAGAGAAGAGGGGAAGTGCTTCTCCCCACATGGGGTTTCTCTCTCAGGACACCACCCCAAGACCTGTGGAGGGAAACAAAGAGACCAGCTCGTTCTACAGTAGCCAGCTCAGCCTTACTGTCCCCGCTGCCCGCTGAGTTCTGTCTCCATCAGAACTCTAATTATTAACCAGATTATGAATGTGTGTCCCCTCGTGTTGTTGGGGTCAGTGGGAATTTACTAATGGAATGCAAAAAAATATTTAAGGCAAACCTCTTTGTACATAGATTTGCACAGTAAAGCATCATAATTTACCTTTTCTATCTGGTACAAAATGTTCAATTCTCCTTCAAAATGATACTTGTTTAATTTACCTCTGGTGATTATTTTATTAGGATCTTTATGATACAGAGGGACACCACTTAGTAAAGAAACCTGATGGGAAACGTGATATTGTGTCACATTATCCGAGACACAATATCCAATTTGCTCTTGTACTGTAATCAGTTCCCAAAAATCAGGAGAAGAACCATCTTTCTTCTTTATTCCAAAACCACTTAAAGGTATAGTGGTGTATTTTTTGAAAAGACCCACCCTCTCCACATAAGAAAAGCACATGCACAACCCTGTATCCGCTCCTGAGAGGGAACTCCTTTTAAAAGTTGCTGTTTGCATCGCTCATACAAGCTTACTTTCCAAAATGTTTTCCACTATGTCAGACTCACCACCAGTAAGTGAAAATAGGAACAAGCACATAGTATTGACTTACGTATGTTGGATCTATAGTTATAGTTATACATACATATATATATATGTTTGTATATCTGGAGGGTGTAACAAAACAAATTTCCCTCTGGGATTATTAAAGTATGTCTGTGTCTGAGTCTGAAACATATCACCAGAATGATTTACAATTAGGAGAACCACTTATATTGATGATCCACCTGGAAAAAGAACATCCTCCACTACACCTTTAACGTGGGTCTGAGTGGAAAAAGTAGTGTTCTTGCAATCAGAAAGTTGTAGGTTTAATCCTCACCTCTGTCACGTGTCGATGTATCCCTGGGCAAGGCCCTTATCTCTTAGATGCCAACCTCTCTTTATATCTCTCTTTATATCAATTCTCTTTATATCAACCTCTCTTTATATCAATTCATTAATATGCCGGTTTGCGAGTACAATTGGGTAAATTTGGCTTTGAGGGGTATTAAATTACTAAATAAAAATCACTCTATTTGCCATCAGTCAGTCATATTGGATGGGAGTATGTTATAGTAGTATGTTATAGGTTTTTGTTCTCCTGAAAGGTAAACCTCCATCATAATCTCAATCTTCTGGATCTTTTATAGGATTGCTAGTATCCATGAATTCTCTTGTCGAATCCCCTATAGTCTATGACCCTCAAAAGAAGCATCTCAAATGCAGGTTCCTTCAATCATATTTCACATAAAGGAGTGTGTATTTAGGTTGGTGGTGATGCTCATAGCTTTTTGTCAAAACCCAAGGAGGGTAAAAATGCTAATTTAGTTTCATCTGACCAGAGCTCCTCCTTTTTTTTCTTTAAAACCAGCTTACTTCAGCTATCTTTCAAAAGTGGGCTATGGTTCTTCTTGTCAGTAAAGAAAAAAGATTAGTGGCATGCTCTACAAATTCTTATCCAGTTTTGGTGGATGGCCATGTGTCAGTACAATAACTGTTGTGCCATAATGATAGGCTGAAAACAAGCTTTAGATATTGTTTTATAGCATATGCTTTATGCATCTGCACAACATTATCCCTGACATGTCTGCTGTGTCCTTTGATCTGTTAGTTTACTAAAGTTTATGACATGAAAAAGGTGAACAAGTCCAAGGGGTGTGAATACATTTGAGGGGTTCATTGTTTACGTGGATTCAGATACATCAGCAAGAAAAAAAATGCTTTTTGATACAGCAGTAATTAAACAGATTAACATGAGTTGCACTGCAAAAAAATGTTTCCCCTTATGCTCTTAAACAGTAGTAACAGAGGGAGAGCATTTGAAGCGCAGTTCATGTTGGATTAACGCCCTCTAGTGACTACAAAAAGACGTAAGATGAAAGTAAGCCAAATTGTACAGATCAGCTCAAGTGAACATACATAAAATCCATTGTATGGAAACATCTATTAACTTTATTTGGTTAGACAGAAGGCCAAAACTTATTACTTACATTGATCTAATCTATTATCTATGGGCTTTTGAAGCTAAGTAGATTGTTATAAAGCATAACAAATTAATGCAATCAGGATCTATGCCAAGATGCCATAAGGAGGAAAGGCTTTGCTTAAACAAAAACAGAAAGTGCTTCTTTAATGGGAAAGGTTCTGATTGGCTATCCATGGTTTGGCCATTTATAGCCCCTTAATTATAAGCCCATTTTGTGACCTCTGGGGTTCAGCGGGGCCAATTCCTGTGCAGACCCAAATCTTGATGAACAAAGGTGGAATGCGATGCCCTCAGCTCCGCAGACAAGCTTCCAAACGTTTCCCATCAATTTCATGGGAAAGTTCAAGCCAAGGAAACTCTTCCAATGCTTAAGCCTTAGATTGACAGCGCATTGAAACCATTAGTCTGTGCTGATGAAAGAGGTAGAGGATTGTAGAGTTGAGGTAAAGTTCTCTGTGTTCTATTATTTTTCTATATCTGTTGTTAAGTCTTAGAATATGATTTCTTTTCTGCACCTTACAGACTAAATCTGGTGCTTTAGGACCCTGCTGATGCTTGTCATAGTGCTGATATTTTCCACGTTGTGAGGGGAGGAAGGGGGTGGGAGGGGAGGGGAGCCCCTGGGCTGTCAATCACAGTGAAAGTGGCAGGGGTGGGCAGGCCCTTCTGACACTTTGTACTGGCGGAGGCGGATATTTAACTTGGGACTGCGCTCCTCTTGCTGCAGACACACACTCTCTCACACACAGTGAAAAGCTCCACCGCCAAGACTCCTGCAGTATAGTAGCAACACGGTAGGAGCTTCTGTAAGCAGTTATCAGAGCTGTAGAAAGCGGGGTCCCTCAGGAACCTGAAGCGCTCCAGACAATGTTGGACTATCTCGTCATGAATTGCAATTCTGGGCTTTTCTGAGAGGATTTAGCAATGCTGCGCTCAGAGCAACTCTGAACTCTTCTCACTTGCAGACGTTTTGCTTTTGCATGCTTTCACGTGAAATGCACAGACGCTGGTAGTTTTTGCAAAGCCGGCTGTCTTAGAGTTCCTCCAAACTAAGACTATTTTATTAGCAGGGGGGAAAAACTGATCTGCGATTTGGAGCAACTGAAAATATGGATGGATCTTATTTCTTGAGCTGAGATTTTGCACCCTGGACCACTGGGAGTAGCGGCAGAGAGAGCAGGCTGCATGTTCACGGACTGTGCGCTCTGGGACTTTTGGCAACCATCAGCGCGTCAGGCAACGTAAAGAGGGAGCCGTGCGTAAAAATAACACACATCGCCAGCTGCTGACATTCAAAACTTGGATTTTGTTCATTCATTCCATGCTATTCTCTCCACGGCTACTGTCATCCGAAGTGAGGACAGTTCGCCGTGTCTTCCAATCCCTCAGCGGTAACCATGACAACCTAAAGAAACCCAAAGTGAATTCAAGGAGCGGGTGAGGCAGATGAGAGTGTGAATAGAAGGCTTTCCCAATTTTTGGGGGCTGCTGTGGCGCAAATTTTGCAATTATTTTCATATAATCCAAACTCTCTGTTAAAAGTCCCTGCCTCTAGCTTTGGACTGAACTTATGACGCCTTGCCTTACAGACAGCACAGCCATTCTGAGAAGAACTGAATAATTGCTTTGCTGCACCCACCCTGACAGAGAAGAGCCGGTGCGCGTATTAAGGAGGAATAATGGGCTTCTCGCAAACGCTCCTGGTTTACGCGCTGGTGTGCGTCCATCTCGGAGTTTCTCAGCCTTTCTTTCGGCTCCGTCCGCAGCCCAGCGATAACCTCCCCGTCCCGGATCTCAAGGAGGATCCCGATCCGGAGTACGACCCCCGGGAGCAGGACTTGGCCGAAAAGCCTCTAAGGAGAAAGCTCGGCAGCCACTTTGACCCTAACTTCATGTCCATCAGCGCACCGCAGCCGGTGAACCTCTCCACCTCGGACGCCCAGTGGAAGCCACCGGGCCACATGCCCAACGAGATTAAAAAGCTGGACCTCACGGAGACCCCTTACGGGAAACGATTAAAAGTGGGTAAGAAAGCGCGAAGGAAATTCCTGCAGCTTCTCTGGACATACACATACTGCCCTGTGGTGTACACTTGGAAGGACCTGGGCGTGAGGTTCTGGCCGCGCTACATCAAGGAGGGGAACTGCTCTTCGGAGCGCTCATGCTCCTTCCCTGAGGGGATGTCCTGCAAAGCTGTTAAGTCCATCAGCAAGACTTTCCTGCGGTGGTATTGCCAAGGCTTTCTAAGACAAAAATACTGTACGTGGATACCGGTGCAATACCCAATCATCTCAGAGTGCAAGTGTATGTGCTGAGTTTACTCCAATGAAGTGGACTGGAACTACAGTTTGAATTGCACTGTTAACTCTCTACAGAGGTGGGCACCATAGCAGATCTATTTTTTTATATGGCATTTAAGTGAAATACCTACATTGTACATATCTAAGGGAAAAAATGCAGCTATTTTTTTTTTTTTATTGAACTTGGACCATATTCAAACATTGTTTATTTTTTCCTCCTCCCGGAGCACTTCATGAGGAAGAGCTTTTTTATATAAATATATTTTTATGAGACATTGATGAAGGAATTCATAATATGCTACACTTCTCCAAGAGGTGACCTTTTTTTTCCTCCAACTGAACAATGATGCTGTCTGTTATTTCACTGCAATGCTGCCAAGAGTTTTTGTATAATATTAATATCAATAATTATTAAACTGTAAAAAGTTGAGGTTAAATATATATATATATATATATATATATATATATATATATATATATATATGTATGTATGTATAAAAGGCGTGAACTCAGCTTTTTTTGAATACTTAGAGTTGTAGAAATAAGCAAATCTGTATGTTTTATTTATTACTTTAACGATTTGTGAGTATAGATCATAAGGAAAGAAAATAGCAGAATATTACCAGAAAAAAAAATACAGAAGATGTCTACTTGAATATTTTTAAAAGTGACAAAAAAATAAATAAATAAATGAAAAAGATAAGGCATATCAGTGTATATATTATGGTTACATGTGTCAGCAATAAAGTCTGTCTTTTCAGTGTGTTTTAGTGTCAAAAAGTGTTGCTAAAAATAGTTTTCTGTTCAGAGGGGGAATGTACACTGTAAATAATACATCTAGAAGGGGTCATTTTTAGTCTGAAAATGTTGGAGCTATGGTTAGGTGATACCCTACAAACCTGGCTAAAATATGTTGTTAGTAGGTGACCGTGAAGATGACAAATGGTAATTTCTCTTTTTGATAATATAACAGAGATCAAACTGCTCTAAAGGCAGAAATATTGATCCCTATCGCCAAAACTCTGTTATATTATTATTGAATATTCATTGCATTTAATTATTGAATGCAGCAGTTTTTGGTCTTTACTGAAAGCTTCACTAAAAGGTTTTCAAACAGCAAAAGTAAACAACATTGTAAGCCTATCTTTTCAAGGTTATTTGATGTGTTGAAATGTTGACTGAAAAGCAACTTGTCTCTAAATTGGACTTTTAATGTCAAGGAAGGAGCCTTGACAACCAATTAGGATCTTTCCAAAAAAATCTGGTGTAACAATTTACTTGCATTTGGATGAGAGATTTTAAAAATCTATATGCAACAGCTAAAAGACAAAGGTCAACTTTAACAAAGCATTTAAATCTTTTTCCCTATTTGGCTTGTCTGCCAATGTTACAAGGAAATAAAAAATCTACACTTGTTTCTGATTAAGGGATAACATGTTAATGAAATAGCAATATTTTGATATGTCGCTCCCAAGAACTGTCTAGATTTGTCATAGTGCTGACACCCACTGTCTTGTCATTTGATAATGAAACCTATTAACATCTTAAACTTTGGTGTTAGCACTGTTACCCTATAGGAAGAGCTTACTACAAACATAAATGCAAACACAAAAATGGCCTCAAACACAAGTCTGATGACAGGTCTTGATATTTACTTAGCTTAAATATTCAACATTACATCCTACAAATGTGTCAACTTTAGCATTTTCTTCTGCACAACTTAAGCAATAATCTAACTGTTTATGTATGATCAGCGATCCAAAATATAGTGGGGTTTCATTTGGCCCCCCTATTAAACATATATTTTCAAACTGATATATTTAAACGAAATATGAAATGCTCCTAATTGCAGTTTTGTCTGGATAAGTTTTGTTTAACTGGGATTTCATTTGGAATAAGTATTGTAAAACCTAAACAACAAAAAAACAAAACCGGATTTGTGTTTTAACAAATATTACTAAAATGTTTCAGTCATATCTTTTTCAATGCTTTGAAGGTAGAAAAAAAAAATAGAATAAAAAAACCCCATAAGTCCTCATCAAATGTACTTTTAACTTGTTGGATTTTATGGGTCGAGAACATTTGATTATATATATTTGTCATCCAGATTGGTCTGGCACATTTATGAATATATTTCTAGAAGGAATGCTTTTTATATAACATTTTTAGAAAAAACATAAGGATTCTTAGCCAAAATATAGCAGTTCAAGTGTTATCACATTTTGCATGAGGAAAAGACACTGAACTGGTGGTTAGGCATCCAAGGTTGTTTTAGCCCAGGGCCTCACATTCTCTTACATACGGCCCTGGATGTAGGCTGAAACTTTTCTTTTTTTCCTTTTTTGCACTATGCAGATGGTTAAGAGCAGTTAGGCTACTTAACCGCACACGTTTCAGTGGCTCTGTGTGGATTGCTTGAGTGTTCCTTTTTTCTATTTTAAAAAGGGTCTGATTTACTACGCAACACATACCCGAAGCGCCTCCACAGAACTGGCATTCATTTGTCAGGGAGGGAGAGAGAAAGAGAGGTTGGAGTCTGTGAGGGGGGAGATCCACGCACGTTCATCCCCACTGTCTACTGTCTGCTCACATGCTGGTTTCCAGGGATCCGAGGTGTTAACATAATGCGTAAAATATGATTCAGACTTGTCAAACAGTGTCAAATGATGAAATGGCGAAGCGTCTGGGGTCTGGAAGCCCCACACAAGTTCCACTGAGGTATTTGTGTAGAGGTGGAATGGAGCAGACCGGCGCCTGTTGGAGTCTGACCGCCCCTGAGACAGAAAAAAGAGACAGAAAAAAAAAAAACAACAAAGCCCAAATAAAACAATGGTCAGCTGTTTTTCACGTTAGCTGCCTATTATTTAGAGAGTGCGCAAGTTAAATAGATGTGGCCCAATTAAGCGCTCTGGAGACGCGCTCATTTTCTATAAATGCCACTCCTTTTATGGACTTTATATGATTAGTCTTTAAACGCAAAGAGCGACTTAAAATGGGCTGTGGCTCGGTGTGAAGTGTTTCCAGTGAGCGCATCTTGTGCGCCTTAAAGTGATTTGTGTTCTTTGCGGGCAGAGATGGATTTTTGACACTTGCCGCCCGGTTATTGTGACACAGCCTGTGATGGGATTTGGTAAGCAGAGGGGAGGAGCGGCAGCGCGCCAGGAGGGGAGGGGGGCTGCTTTCCTTACTGTCAGCTTCTTTCTTGATGATGTCTCGGGGTTTTTAGAAACTGCGTCTCTGACTCGGCGGCGCCACTAAGCCGCCCCCTCTCGACTGCGCAGAATGAGGTACTTTGGGAAACAGTAACCCTTTCAGGCTCTGCCCGGAGAACATTTTAGAAGCGTGTGAAAGGCAATACGCCGCCATGGCTGCAGCCCGGGAGTTGCGCACCTTTTAGATTCTCATGGTCCGGGTCCAGGTGGTCCTTGAGGTGATTCCTCAGATTAATTCCTTCTGATTTAATAAGAAACTATCTAATTTGATTGTGTTACTACTAAATAATGTCAGCTCCTCATTTATTTTCACCAAGACGTTCAGTCTCAAATTTCATAACTATCACCTTTCGGATATGCCTCTATTTCTTCTAACTCTAGCTGTTTGTTGCGCAAACAGCCTATAGGCTGTTGGTAAGCCTCTGATTTAACCCCATATCTCCATGTATAGAAAACAGAGTTATCACTCAAAAGGGCTGAGTTAGAAACAAAGTAAAATTGGGCCATTTCACTCAATTTTGCTTAAAAAAGGAAAGAGGCATGACTGCTAAAGAATTTCTGGACTTGGCTCAGCACATTGGGTTAGGTTTTAAACTAAAATGGTTACATTTTGTTAGTTATATCTATGTTAAAGCGGGGGATCAGGATTTACTGTTCAAGGTTAAGCAGTTAGCTAGAGTCGATATCCCTGTCACTATTTTTCAGTTATATAAATCTACAAGTTGCAGTCCAAGGGGGGAAAAAACAAAAGCAGAAATTTACCATCTGAATGAGCAATCAAAATATTCAGATATTTTCGAAATGGGCTGCTCGGTGGCGCAATGTGTAATACCTTGCAGCAATAATGTAGTGGGTTTGATGCCTTGTCCGTGGTCTTTCTGCATGGAGTTTGCATTTTCTCCTTGAGCATGCATGGGTTCTCTCCAGTTACTCCAGCTTCCTTCCACAGTCCAAAAACATGACCGTTAAGTTAATTGGCTTCTCTAAATTCTCCTTAGGTGTGTGTGTGTGTGCGTGAATGGTTGTTTGTCTCTGTGTTGGCCTGCGATGGACTGGCGACATGTCCAGGGTGGACCCTGTAGACAGCTGGAGACAGGTACCACCACCCCTCATGACCCCACTTGGGATAAAGCGTGTCAGAAAAGGGATGGATTTTTGAAATATTGCTGCTATGTTTTAAAAATGTAAATGTTAAAGAAGCAAGTAGGCTACTTGCTTGTGCTACCCCTTAGCAGATAAAAAGCTAATTTAATCAAAAGTGAACAAGTTTCTTCTCCTGTTTTAACACAACCCACTGATGGTTTTACCATTAAATCATTTTGTCTACATCCTCAATCTGATCAGGTCTTTGCATCGTCCAAAATGGTCCTCAGTAAAAAACAAATGTCAATGGTGTATTAGAAATTAATTTGGTAAGTAAGTTTAACAAAAGCATTAGAAAAATATTGTATCTTAATTGATTTGTCCTTCGTACTAAGATAAAAAAAAAGACAAACTTATGAGGAATTGTTTTAGTTTAAAATCCCATTCATATTCTTTACCAACACCTGTTCGCAGGAAGGCAGGGGCCTCATTCAATTAGTCGGCAGGTTACTGTTCTTTTAGATAGAACATCCTGAAGAGGGCGCCAGTCCATCAAACTAAACCTTTTTAAACCTCTCTGAATAAATGGCAAGTCAAATTGTTCTCTTATACCACAGTTATGATATGCTGTTCACTGACAGTTTTCCACCTACCAAGCTCAGTTCACAAGCAAGCGTGACTCTAGCCTTAGCACTATCATTCAACTACTAAAAACCCAACCAACACAGACATTTCCAAAACAAAAGTCTCATTACTGAGCTGCACAATGGAGCAGTCTGTTTGCCTTGTTGCAAGTAGGTCCAGGGTTCAATACCCAGCCTATGATCTTCCTGCATGGACTTTGCCTTTTCTGCCAAGGCTTGCTTGGGTTTTCTCCAGGTAGTCTTGCTTCCTCCCACAGTCCATGTCTGTCAGGTTAATAGGTGTCTCTAAATTCTTCTTACATGTTTGCGTGTATGTCTTATGTTTGACTTTGATGCATTGGCAACCTTTCCAGGGTGTACCCCGCATTTCGCAAATAGGCTGCAAGAGATAGGGACCAGTCCTACTGCAACCCTGACAGAGTAAGCGAGAGAAGATGGATGTTGTAATGGAAGATGGTTGATTGGAAGTCATTATGTGTCTTGTTACATTGGTTTATCATACAAGTCAGTTTTT